AGTCTCCAGACAGCCCGGTTTAGTTGCTATCTCTTGTACAATGTTGTGAACCTCCGTCCATAGTTCTTCCGGTAATCTGTCTATCAGATCTAATCTGTTAAATCTATTTGTCCCTCTACTGTATATTCATCAGGAATATGATTTAGGTCATACCTGAGTGGCCTAGTGCTTTTCCCTGCTTTCTTCAATTTAAGCCTAAATTTTGCTACGAGAAGCTCATGATCTGAGCCACAGTCAGCTCCTGGCCTTGTTTTAACTGACTGTATAGCGCTTCTCCTGGGCTCCAAGATCACCACAGCCAAGAAATTAAAAGACGCTTGCTCCTGGGGAGGAAAGCTATGGCAAATCTAGACAGCAAACTAAAAAGCAGAGACATCACCCTGCCAACAAAAGTGTGTATAGTCAAGGCTTTGGTTTTTCCAGTTGCAATGTATGGCTGTGAAAGCTGGACCATAAGGAAGGCTGAGCACCGAAGGATTGAGGCCTTTGAATTGTGGTGCTGGAGGAGACTCCTGCGAGTCCTTTGGACCGCAAGGTTATCAAACCAGTCAGTTAGAGGAGATCAACCCTGACTGCTCTTTAGAAGACCAGATACTAGAGATGAAACTCAAATACTTTGGCCACCTAATGAGAAGGAAGGACTCCCTGGAGAAGAGCCTAATGCTGGGAACAATAGATAGCAAAAGAAGAAGGGGACAGCAGAGAATGAGATGGCTTGATGGAGTCACTGAAGCAGTTGGTGTGAGCTTAAGAGGATTCCGGGGGATGGTGGAGGACAGGAAGGCCTGGAGGAATGTTGTTCATGGGGTCACGATGGGTCAGACACGACTTTGCGACTTATAACAACAACACATAGAGCTTCTCCATCTTTGGCTGCAGCACTTAGTGAATCATATTTCTGTGTTGATGTGATGTCTATTTGTAGAGTCGTCTCTTGGGTTGTTGGAAAAGAGTGTTTGCTATGACCATCGTATTCTCTTGACAAAATTCTACCAGCCTGTGCCCTGCTTCATTTTGTATTCCAAGGCCAAACTTGCCTGTTATTCCAGTTATCTTTTGGCTTCCTGCTTTAGCGCTCCAATCCTCCATGATGATAAGGACATCATTTTTTGGTGTTACTTCTAGAAGGTGTTGTTGGCCTTCATAGAACCGGTCAACTTCAGCCTCTTCAGCACCAGTGGTTGGGGCATAGACTTGGACTACTGTGATGTTGAATGGTTTGCCTTGGATTCGAACTGAGATCGTTCTGTCATTTTGGAGATTGTATCCCCGTACTGCTTCTCCTACTCTTTTATTGACTATGAAGGCTACTCCATTTCTTCTGAGGGATTCTTGCCCGCAGTAGTATACCTGATGGTCATCTGAATTAAATTCACCCATTCCTGTCCATTTTATTTCTCTGATTCCCAAGATGTTGATGTTCAGTCTTGTCATCTCATGTTTTACCATGTCCAGCTTACCTTGATTCATGGATCTTACATTCCAGGTTCGTATGGAGTATAGATCTTTACAGCATCAGACTTTCCCTTCACCACCAGATACATGCACAACTGAGTGTCCTTTCAGCTTTGACCCAGTTGCTTCATTCTTTCTGGCGCTACTAGTACTAGCCCTCCGCTCTTCCCCAGTAACACATTGGACACCTTCCGACCTGAGTGGCTCATCTTCTGCTGTCATATCTTTTTGTCTTTTGGTACTGTCCATGGGGTTTTCATGGCAAGAGTACTGGAGTGGGTTGCCATTTCCTTCTTCAGTGGATCAGCTTTTGTCAGAGCTCCCTGCTATGACCTTTCCGTCTTGGGTGCCCCTGCACAGCTTAGCTCATAGCTTCTTTGAGCTACACAAGCCCCTTTGCCATGGCAATCCATGAAGGGGCCTTCCCACATAGGAAGTGATAATATCTTTCTTTCCATTATGTAATGAGGCTGCTGGATCAAATTCAACACCCTCCCACCTTTCAGTACCATAAGGAGCACAGCTCTCTCCATTATGCTGATGTCAGAAGTTAAGTCACTAGGTGTCATAGAGAGAGTCCCTTATTTTGACCTGTCCTGGGGCTTTGACTCTTACTACTTTGTGGTACTGAAATGAGATGGGGGACTCAGACCAAACCTAAATTTCAGAGGCATCAATTGCTTATCACACCAAGGAAGTTCAGAATGGTCACCCTCCAGAACATCCTGTCTCTCCTGCAAGGACTTGGAAGGTGCTTGCTTCCACAGTACCCTAGGCCATGGTTATAGACACTCCTTTTGCTTTTGGATTGGAGAAGAGATGTTACCATTGTCTGTAGTCTACTTCGGGCTCTCAGCTGCCTCCAGCACTCACTAAATGCATAACAGTGGTCTACTCATGGACATGTTGGTGTGGGATAGGGAACATGCTGTGGCAACCTGAGAAGCTGAGGGGATCTGGATTCGATAACAGACCAGCAGATACATCAACCTCCTCAAGATGCTAGCCATACTCAAAGCCCTGACTACCTTCCAGACATCCCTACATGGATGCCAAGTCCGCATATCCACAGACAAAACCACTGTGGTATTCTGTCTCAATGAGCAGGGTGGAACACAGTCGATTCCACAACAAAACTGACCATTGGGGTCTGGGACTGGTGCATCAGCAGAAGCATGACCCTCACAGCCATCCATATAGCAGGAACAAGCAACACAATGGTGGACACACTCAGCTGCATCAGCCTCAACGTGCAGAAATGGCAGTTGAGCACTGGAGCCCTCCAAGGTATTGTCAGCATACTGGGCAACCTGGTAGTCTGCTTGTTCACTGAAGTCTGTACCACAGCCTGCACAAACTTCTGCTCCCGGGCAGAGCAAGGGACTGGCCCCTTGGGAAAAGCTATCTTCCAATGCTGGTTGGGGGCACTGTTCTACTGCTCCTCTTCCTTTCCCCCATCATGAGAGTGCTCACAAAGATGAGCAGGAAAGAAACAGACTGCCCCTGGTGACTGTGGCAGCCATGACTTTTGTGGCTCTGCCATGGGACAATCGTCTGTCTCCCTTACAGCCCAGACCTGATATCACAACACTGGGGCAAAATCCTGCACTCCAGCACAAACACTCAACACCTCGTGGCATGGCACAGTGCACCATAAACACCACAGCCAATACTCTGCCACAGGACATGGGACTTATCCTCAAAACTTCCCTCAAGGCATCAACATAAAAGGCCTGGCCTTGCCAAATGGCAGTATTCTCCACCTTTGTGTGATAGGAGGCCCTTGATGTGTGGGACGCCTCAGTCGAGCTCATTCTATTCCTGCACATGTTCTTCTGAAAAGCGCTAACGCCCCTGCTGCTTGCTCGGAGACTAGCCGCCTGGGTCACGAGCACCTCTCCCTGGCCTACAAGCTAGCCGGTCTGCAACTCTTGGCCCTTCCAAGAACTCGCCTCACATGAGCAATAGCAACATCCACAGCCCTCCTTGCAGGAATTTCTTTGCAGGGCAGCTGCTTGGTCTGCACCCTCAGCGGCTGTCAGGCACCAGACTAGCACTGCAGGCTGGACATCCATGCAAGGGTAGACTGCTCCCTTGGCAGAGCAGTCCTCACCATCCCTCTTTCCTTTTCAAGATAAGCTGGCTAGTCTCCTGTTGCTGTGCTTCAGAGAGACCACAGAGGAGGAGGTCAGGTTTCACCCCCAGCCCCCGTGGCATTGAACCAAAAATAGCTGCCCCCCTCTACCGGGAGCACGGGGGCTGGACTGGAGCAGGACCGCACAGCTCCCTCAGTCCTGGGACCAGTGGGCAGTCTCAGTGGAGCCAAGGGAGTGGGTGGGCCCCCTCTCACAGATGGGGGTGCAGGAAGGGGTGGGGCTTCTGCCCAAGGGAATGATTAGCTGCAGAGCCTTCCCAACAACAGGCCTGTACAGGCATAGAACCCACAAGGACAAATGTCCAGATGGCCACGTGAAGAACAGCAGTCACGGGCAGACAGCCTGGCTAGTCCAGACGTGGCCTAGTTTGGGGAAATGGCTTGGAGTAACTCCAGTAACCCCCTGGTGTCATGGCCTGCTCTCCTGAAAGCTTTCTGTGCCGCGAGTCCATAAGCTTCTTGGCCTTTTGCACCCGTCTTTGTGTGGCTGTGGCACTCCCTTGCCTGCTGGCTCCATCCGCCCAGCCTCCTCTTTGGCCTGAAGACAAACACCCAGCTGTATCCAAGGCCAGCCCAACTGGTTGTCACATGTGATTGGACCCATACACATCAAGGCCCACTCATAGCCTTGTATTGGCCGATGGCCTGTGGCTGCTTCCTCAAGGCCTGATAGGGGCAGCACGTGCCGCAGGCCAGCCCAGGACTTCCAGTGAAATCCACACTGTGCTGAAGCATGAGGGGAAGGCCCATGGCAAATACCACTGCACGTCTTGGGAATTCACCACTATTGTCATAGCCATGTGTAGAACCGTTCATCTACGTACATGGAGTAAGGCTTCCTTATGCAATCCTTGTTTCCAGAGGCTTGCAGTCTAAAGAAAACAAGAAAGCAGCAGAGGAAGGGGGAAATGCAGGATGAGTGTGCAAGGGACTGACTGGCAGCTGCTCCCAGGTCTCAGGTGTCAGATCAGGTCTCTGTCATGCAAGAGCAGGACACTATCTCTGTTTTTAGCTAGATTCCTCCGGAAAATCCACAGGCAGGGCCAGCCTCCAGAGCTGCATGCAGCCCCTTCCCCCTCACACACCCTACCTGCTAGTATTGCAATCTTGTGGGGAGCCAGTGTTTGGGCTTCAGGCCAGAGCATGCTTTGGGATGCCCACACAGAGGGGCCCAGTGGCCTGTCCTGAGCCAGGAGGGGCTGCTTCCAACAAGTGTGAAGAAGAGGCTTGGTGCACGGTGCTGCTGCCACATGTCTCTGTCAGCTGCTGCACCTGACGTGTTCTTGTCTTTTTTGTTTCTCCTTCCTCCTCCTTGGGCTCATCCTCACGGTTTGTTTTTCTGTCTCTCCATTTCCTCCTGCTTCCCTTTCCCTCTTGTGTTGTCTCTCAGCTGGAAGTTCTCCACCACCGACTCAGTATATCCAGCACCCTCCACTGTAATCCTGCCCAATCCAGCTACCAGGCCCTCCACACCTATCAAGTATATTTTCATCTTTTCATTTTAACTTTTTTATCTGTTGAAAACCCTTCATACCTCCTGCAAAATAGGGGGTGGGCAAAAGTAGCACCCCGAATGGGAGTGCAGCACCTTTGACCCATGGACTTGTGTGCCCCCGGGATGTTTTGCCTCTGGTTCACAGGGCCTCCTTGGAGGAGTCCTCACTGTTATCTTGGATCAGGGGTAGGAGTGGTGTAGTGGCGAGGGACTGGTTGGTGCTGGGAGGAGCCCTGCAGGCTGCTGGTGTCAAGCAGCTTTGGAGGATGCCCAGTTCTGATGCTGGAACAAGTGTGTGGCCTGGCATCCTCTGCTGCAGGTGAAGAGAGGCAAGGCCAAGTCCAGACCTGCCGATCTCCCACTCTTGGGCATAAGGCTGAGGTGGATGGATAGCAGCTGTCTCCTGGAAGCCTTCTCCCAAAGTGCTATGGCAAGTGCTGCTACGGCAGCCCTTGTGCATGGCAGGAAGGTGCCAGCAACATTCTCAGGCCTTGCCTGTGCTGGAAGTTGCTATGTGAGGGTGTGTCCAGGCAAAGGACACATTGGGAATGCCTCGTGTCCAGGGCAGGCAACCTGCAATGGCTCCACCAGCGGCACCCATGCCCTCGGGGATGAAGCTCCCTTGCAAGCCACTCTCTTGAGAAGGGCTTGCAATGCCCATGGAGCAGCTTGCCTTGCTAGGTGGCTCAGTCTGTTCATACTCTTTCCCTGCTTCAGATAATTAATTTTGCTTGGAAGAGGAGCTTGTGCAGAGCATGTTTCTTGCCTTGATGAAGTGTTTGTGGAAGATAATTGCAATCTGGTACCGGTAAACCACCTGAAATAACTTTTTTGGGGTGCCAAGCTTTCAGGATGGGCATGCATGTTTCTTGCAAGTCATGTTTGCTTTCATTGGTTTTTGGGTTTCCTGCATTCTTTCAGCTCTTTTTGGTGTCTGAAACTAGGAGACAAGAATGAGGTACCTCAAAGCGACATTGTAATTTAGCTGATCTTGAGAGTCCTGGTTTCTTTTCTTCTAAAAAGCAACTTTCTAGTCTTCACTGCATTAGATTGCTTTAAAATATGACTGCAGCATTTGCTTAGAGGCTGAACAGAACCTGGTTCTTCATTAATGACCCTGTGAAGCCCATCCCATTATCCTTGGGATCCTAACAGTCATTCGCCTGCCATCTGTAAAACAGATCCTTCTGCAGACCAGGCCTTTAAACTAGCATTGGGGTTTGCCTCAAGTAGAGAACAGAAGAAAACAAAGTGCCCCAATCTGGTAGGTTCCTGCATGACTTGAGGAGTGAGGCAGTCTCGATAGCTCAGATAAACGAGCCACGTCAGATACTCCTCCACCACAGTTTTGGCAGTCTTAAGCACCAAAGATTTTTGTGTCGGAGGAAGACTTGTTGATCTTGTGCCAAGTGCAAGTTGGTGTCCCTCCTCAAGGAGAAGGTGGGGGGGCTAGAGGAGGCCATTGCCTCCCCATGGCAGTTAAGGCAGGGGGAACACTGCCCAAGAGGACCTCTAGGCCAGCTGGGAAAAGTCCCCTTCCAGGCAGGGAGAGAGGGGTCACCAGGAGCCACCAGGGAGGCATGGAGACATGCCACCTGCAGGAGGCGAAGGTGGAATCTCCCCCGCTCCCCAGATTGGCCAGGGATCAAGCGTGGCCTGGGGCCACTGCTGAGACACAACCCCCCCATCTGCACAGGGAGATGGGGCAGACAGATTATTGTTGGGGACTCCTTACTAAGGGACGCAGAGGCAGTGGTGTGCTGGCCAGACACATAGAGGTGAGGGAAGTCAGCTGTTTACCGGGCACACGCATCTGGAGTGTGACAGGCAGGCTAGCATGTCTTCTTCCCCTGGAAGATCATTGGCCACTCTTGGTGATCCATGTGGGGATGGATGACACAGCCCGATCACTCAGGACTTCGAGGCTATGGGCAGGAAACTCACAGGGCCTGAAAACCCAAGTGGCCTTTTCCTCGCTTTCGCTACAACCAGGGAAAGGAGGGTTGGCGGAGACAAATGACTGGCAGGGCATGGTGTCAGAGGAGTGCTTCGGGTTCCTCAACCACAGGAACCGGCACCTTGCTGAGGGACTTCTGGTGAGGGATGGGGTGCACTGTTTTCTCCTGCTCCCTTCCCTGCTCTTTGGTGTCTCTGCCCTGCTCTTCCTCGATGGTGGGGAAAGAATTTACTGCTCTCTCCTCCTGCTCCTCCTCTTCCTGCTGCTGCTCCCCGTCCAGGAGTCGTTCAAACCCACAGAGGAACACGTCCTGGTTATCCGGCTGCTGGTGAAGCACCTGCATGCTTTCAGCAACAGTTTGAAGCCAGAGGCAGCTGCTCCTGCGGGACATTCCCATGCTGCCAGTCCACTGGAGGAATTCAAGAGGTATGTGCTGTTCTTGGCCTGCTCGGACTTGGACCGGGTAGGCCCCAAAAGGCAAGATCCTGCCTTCAGAGATTGCTGCGTACTGAATTTTGGGGTCTCTTGAGTTTAAACTATATATTAAGTTTGAACCTGTTATCTTTGGACAGATTCTTAACAAAGCAGTCCCCTGCCAGTGCAGCTGCGCGGGTCAAAACAACCTGTGGCAAAACACCTCAATTTGGATGGCTGCAGCTTTCCAGTATTGCCACACCACCATCTCATCTCACAAGCCTTGAAACTGTGTTCTGTTAAAATGGCAGACTCTTTCCTCCATGTTTACCTATTTTGTGAGGCTTCTCTATGTTGGGTGTCTTTGCAGGATTGTGATTCCCCGGTTTGTTCAGCAGAAACTCTACATATTTCTGCAGCACTGCTTTGGCCACTGGCCTCTGGATGCCTCTTTCAGAGTGGTAGGTATTGTGCTGAGTGTTCTGGGATAACTACAGTGTACCCTGGGAAAGTTCTGGCTGATACTTTCCAGCATACAAAAGTCCGGGGAATACTACCTTCTATTTTAAAGTAAGATCACATTGCTCAGCCCCACTAAAGAAAAGGAAAACAGCACAGTTGGACTTGGAAGACTGCCCATATTGGGGCTGAGCAGCCATGCAATTCAAGTTCCCCCTTTCCCCCTGTATGTTTTCATTTATTATTTGTTTTATTATCCCAATCTTTAAAATGGGATTTGTAGGAACCCTCAAGGCTCTTGTGTGTTGAAGAAGGAAGGAAATGCAAATTTTTTTTTAGGATAGAAGAGGCTACAAAATGACTAGGATGCATTTCCTTAAATGTAGAAACTTGTGATGCAGCTCTTAGAAACAGGAAAGAGTATGTATGGCAGAAGTGTCTTTGTTACAACCAAGGATCCTTTTTTCTAGTTCTGCATCTCTTAAATCTGAGGTGTGAGCGAGTGAATGCTTCTAGGGCAAGGTAGCCTGCTTGTGCTGTATGCTTTATGATGGGGGTTTGACATTCCCCTCCCCTCCCCGCTGTTACATGTGCAGAGGGAGGGGCAGATTTTGTCACAGAACTTGCTGTTCATCGTTACTTGGTATAAAGTAAAGCTGCCCCTTGCTGAATCATAGCAATTGTTATTATAGTTTTGTTCTTTTAAACTAATTTGTGTGTGTCTTTTTAACTTTAACTTTTCTTAACCACCCAGAAAGCTTCAGTTGTTGGGCTTATAAAATGAGATACATGCATGCATGCATGCATAAGAAGCCACCCCCCCATCAGTGCCCAGTTTCATGCCAGGTGCTGGAGGGCCTTGGATGAAAGGGCTTTGTTGTGCTCATGCGGAAGAACAGTCCTTGAAGCAGCCAGGCCTGAAGTCGCTGGGCTAATGTGCTGAAATGGACTGTCCCTTAGTAGGAGTGTTCCCTGTAAATTGACCCTGCTTGACAATTCAGCAGCTGTATTTTGCACCATCCCTGGACGGACTTCTGGGCTGCAGCTGCTCCTCAGCCTTCGCTGGTGTCTCAGTTGACAATGGGCGCGACTGCTGGCGTGGAGGGTGCCCCTAATCACAAGCCTCTCTTTGGAGGAGCGCAGCCTTCATCTGTGCTGAGGTGCAGACGTTGGCCCCTTGGCCCTGACATCACCAAGCAGTCTGCCAGAGAAACTAGTTGCTGAGAAAGGCACAGTCAATCAAAAGGGCCTGTTTTGAGCAACTGAACTTGCTTCCCAGGTGCTGGAGATGTGGCTAAGCTACTTGCAGCCTTGGAGGTATGCTCCGGGGAAACCGCTGCAGACCATGGAGCTACTGCCTCGCGGCGTTACAGACAAATGGTGAGTGCTGGGCTGGGTCAGGCTGTCTGGCCCCAGGGAGGAGGAGGAGGAAAGCACCCCGTTGCTCTGCAGTGGTCCCTGGCGTTCGCTGCTGTGGACTGCTTGGGACCTGGTGCGGTGGCTGCAGTGAGAGGTGGTGGCGAGGTGGTGAAGCACTGCTTTCCTCCTCGTGCTGCCCAACTTCTGCAGCCTGCCCTCACTGACAAAAGATGCAGTTATGGAGGGGAACGTGCTGCTGACATGGGAGAACTTGCTCTGCCTGGTATGCCCACGTTTCCACTTTCCATTGTGATTTTGCTTTGAATGGAGGTCCTGCAATGCAGGTGCTCTCTTGCTGTGATCAGCAAACCCTTAATTGCGAGTCTACAGGGTTTGGTTGGCATCTTTGGTTGAACCAGAAAGGGTAGTTGCTGGTCCCCTTAACCCTGAGCACCCCCCCCCACACACACACATCAGGAAAGGCCAGGAGGCAAGCAGTCAGGCGCACAACTTCGGTTCACATTCTTGAGCACGTCCAGCCCCTTCAACAGAAAGGTTGGTGGGAGAGTACCTTCCTTCAAATGCAGACTCCCCTGCCTCTGGGGCAGGAAGAACCAGCAGTCAGAAGGGCTTCGCAGCTTGGCCTTGAGTAGCCAGAAGACAGCATAATGCTGCTCGTTGTCAGAAGACTTGTCGAGGCAGGTACAGAAGGGGAGGAGAGTCTTTCTGTCTGAGAGTTCTCTGACTGCTTCTCTCTTTAAAGGGCTGCCTTTGTTCAGGAGAACCTGCTGATGTACACCAAGCTCTTCATTGGCTTTCTGAATCGAGTGCTCCGCACAGACTTGGTCAGCCCCAAGAATGCCCTGATGGTATTCAGAGTGGCCAAGGTTTTTTCCCAGCCCAACCTCACCGAAATGATCCAGAAAGGTAAAGACAAAAAAATAGAAATCCATTTATGCTCTGTCTGCAGGCCAATCAACAGTTTGGTCTTCTTTTTCCTTTGATCATGGATAAAATGTAGGTCAAAGAAGCAATTGTGGCCCTGGGAGAGGCTGTGGAGAAGTCTGGCTGACTACTTGCCTAAGCACTTCCCCTGCTATTTCTCAGGATCTCATTGCCACCATGTCAATGTTTCTTAGGGAGCATAATTGCTGAGCAAGAGCTTGATCTTCAGCTTTCCATGTCCAGACCCTATATGTGATCAGCTGCATCCTGTTGGCTGATGTGTTTGCATCCTGACTGTAGCTGAAGCACCAGTAAGCAGACATGAAGGCCCTTTCTTTGGGGCCGCTGGTTGCAGTGCAAGCAGTGAGGCATCCCCCCACAGGGCAAGGAGAGAGCACTTGGGAGTTTCAGCTTTGCCTCTCACTTTGCAGGAGAGCAGCTCTTTCTGGAAACAGACCTTGCTCTTCCTCACCGGCAGCACCGCCTCTTCATGAGTCCGTCTCTTGGAGGGGGCTTCTTGTCCTCCCGAACTCCAACCATCACAGATGCTTCATTTAAGGTGAAAAGTCATGTTTACAGCCTTGAAGGACAGGACTTCCAATATAAGCAGATGTTTGGGCCAGAAGTCAGGAGTCTGGTAAGTTGCCATGTGGTACTCATGAAACTGGGAGGCTGCAGACAAGCGTGACTGCTGTCTCTTGACAAAGGAGCAGGCACCAATTGAATGTGTTGCTTGACTTGGGGATTTTGGAAAAGCAGGAGACTTTCTTCTGTGCCACAGCAACTTTTAAGTGATTTGCAAACCAGATGTCTGAGAAAAAAAGTTCTTCATCCTTAAGGAGGCTTTAGAAACATAGACACAAAGCAAATCAGAAGGGGCCTCCTGGGCCAACTAGTCTGACTCCCACCTCCAGCCGGCTCCACTTGTGACATGCCTACCATGTGCATGGGCAGCCTATCCTTGAACACCCTCCCCGATGGGGCCTCAACCACCTCCCATGGAAGCCCATTCCATACCCTCGGGGTCCTAACCATCAGGAAGTACTTCCTGGCATCCAAACTGATTCTTAGTTCCCTGAGCTTTGCTTCACTGGAACACATCCTGCCCTCCTCTGCAGGGGAGAAGAGGTCTCTACCCACCTCACTGTGACACCCCCTCACGTACCTATGTGTCACCAACAGCTCCCCTTGGAGTCCTCTCTTTTCCAGGCTGAAAAGACTGATTTCCCTAATCTGGCCACCATCCTTGTGGCCCTACACTGCACCGATTCCAACCTGGCTATAACCTTCCTGTAATGCAGAGCCCAGAACTGAACACAGTACTTCAGTTGTAGGGACACCAGAGTCATATAGAGTGGTAGTAAAACCTAGAAGCCATGCTTCTGGCTATGCATCCTAGGGTGGCATTCACCCTCTTGACTGCAGTGTTGCACTGCTCATGTTTAGCCTGCAGTCACCCGGTACCCCAAGATCCCTTTGACTTCAGCTGCTCTCCAGCCACTTGTCCCCTAACCTGTACTTATGTCACCCATTCCTATGCTCCAAGTGCAAGACTTTGCACTTATCCACATTGAACGCCACCCTGTTGTCTCTTGCCCACTTCCGTAGTCTGTCCAGATCCTTCTGGATCCAGAGTACCTGCTCCTCGGTTGTAGATACCGCCCCCATTTTAGTATTGTCTGCACATTTGATCAGCAGACTGGTCACCCCTTCTTCCAGGTCTTTGATGAAAAGATTGAATAGGAACGGTTTGAGGACAGAACCCTGGGGGACCCTGCTCATCACCGGCCACCATCTTAAGGGTTCCCCACTAAAGGCTATCCTCTGCTTTCAGTCCGTCAACCATGCCCTAATCCACTGAACAGTTCACTTGGTCCATCCCAAAACTCCTCAATTTCTCAACCAGGATATCATGCAGCACTTTGTCAAAGGCCTTGCTGAAATCCAGGTAAACCATATCCATCCAGACACCTCAAAACCTTGTCATAGAATTCCACAAGGTTTGTCTGGCAGGACCTGTTTTTGCGGAAACCGTGTTGTGTGACCACCAACCTCCCTTCCCTGTCTAGGGTTACTAGATCTCTCACTATTATGAGCCTTTCCATTGTCTTTGTTTCCTTTATTTCTCACAGAGCCTTTGTTTTCTCCTCATGTATAGCAGGTGAGCAAGCTTGTTGGAGTGTTGGTGCATGGTTTTTCTCTTCAAAAGCTGTGCGAGTGTCTGCAATTTTTTTCTCCCTCCAGGTTTTACGACTGGCCCAGCTTATTGGCCAGGCACAGCAGACAGCCAAATCAATCTCGGACCATTCTGTGGAGACCATGGCCAGGCATTCCTTTCTTTCATGGATCTGGTTTGGATCAGCTGACTTGAATGGTTCCTATATAGGCAATGACTTGGATGAAATTGGACAAGAGAGCATCAAAAAGACAGATGAATACTTGGAAAAGGCCCTGGAATATTTATGTCAGATATTTCGGGTATGAGTGCTTCTTTGTTTCTCCAAAAGTTTTATCTGGACTTTGCATAAAAGCCTTGCATAAAAGTTACTCTCTGTCAGGAAGGATGGGAAATTTGCTTTTGTACTCCTTTCTCTTTTTCTTTGTAACCACTGAAAATGAATTGAGGCAAGAGTTTTTAAGAACATGGGTGCTCATCTAGCAGCATTTCTTTTCTAGTAAATCCTAATTTTGCAATGGTCTTTATATCCCAAAAGTTCCCCAAGTCTGAAGTTCTTGAACTTTTAAAGAGTTAACTGCTTTGCAGTTCTAAGCAGGGACCATAAGGTCTCTCTCCTTCTCCCTCTCCCCACCCCCATGCACACGATTGTACTTTGGTTACCCAAGTGGAGGTGAGGGTAAAATGTGTTCCTTGTCCCTACAAGGAGGTCTGCCTAACCTAAGTCTGCCTAGGCCCACCCAGAATGCTGTTTTTGGTTACTGTAGAATATGAGGGTTTTTGAGCTGGTGTTGACTGAGAAACAGATGAACTGGAAGCATGTTCATTTCATGACATAGTAGGTATGCCAGCTGGGGTCAGACTAGATGGCCCAGGAGGCCACTTTCGACCCGGTCTGTTTATGGAACGATTTCAGGGGTTACTGTTGTGCAATTGGGAACCTTGACTTCCAACATTTTTCTTTGCCATTTTGTTCTACCCCATTGTCCAACTTCTGCTAGTTAAACGAAGCCCAGCTGAGCCAGCTGATGCTGAACTGGGGAGCAGCCCAGCAAGAGAGCGGAAAGCAGCAGCTCCCTGATTGCACAGAGAGCGAAAATGGGCTTACTCTCACACCACTTGGCAGGTACCAGGTAAGAAGAGGGCCCACCTGGTCAGTCTTGTCAGGCTACAGTTATCATCCATTTTTTCATTAGATGTGTGAGTGGTTCGAGATCTTGGACCAAAGCGTCTTGGTCCAGCTCTCTTTTTAAGGACTTCTGAGGTTTAAGGAGTTGTCTCTTTCCTCCAAAATCCCTGGTTCTTTAATGGTGTTCTTCTAAGAAGTACAGACCTGTTGTTATCTTAAAAAAGCAATTAAAGCCACTGGCATAACTAATGGAAAAATCCATACTTGTGTCTAAAAATTGGTCTATTGCATGTCTAAAAATTGGACTTTATCAGAGTCATGCTGCAACACCTTCAGGACTACTAAATTTACTAAACCTGAGGTTTTGTTCAGATGTTTTAAGACCCTGTCCCTCAGAAAATGGTATCTTGGGGCTTAGTGCACTGAGGACAGAAAACTTTTTATATTCCTAGATCATCAATGGTCTGCGCAGGTTTCCATTAGAATACCAAGGGGATCCTGAGCTTCAGCCTATCCGAAGTTATGAAAACACTGTTCTTGTGCGACTGCTTTTTCGGCTGTCTTCAGCCATCAATGAACAGGTAAGCAACCTGGAAAACTTCCCTTCGTTCTCATGCAGTACAGTCACCCCTCTTGCCTCTGTCTCACTCTGTAAAAAGGTATTGTTTTGCAGTGTTTGTTATGCTCTGTTTCCCCCTTAATGAAAGATACTGGCCCCACTTCAAGAACCACTCCTTTTCCAACCTCCTTTGTCCGAACTGTCCTGAACAATCCAGTCTGCTGTGTAGGCTGCATGGCTGTAGTTACATGGGCCTCTTTCCAGATGGTTCCTTTTATTATTCAGAAGGCTCCATGTATGGTTATGTTGTTTGGTTTTTGTGCCGGTCCTTTGCCTGCCATTATGGTGCACATTGGCATTGCTTGGGGTGTCGAGAGTGGAGGCTTTCAGTGGCTACTAGCCTTGTCTGGCTATGGGCTGCTTCTTTAAAAGAGTGTCATGCCTGCATGCCTCAGTTGCTGAGCTTGGGCAGGAGAGGTTTTGCACACATCCTGCTGGAGCAGTTCTTTGGGCAACTGGTTGGCCACGGTGTGTACACAGTGCTGGACTGGATGGACCTTTGGTCTGATCCAGCAAGGCTTGCCTTATGTTCTTATGTGACCTCCTTTATGCCCTCCCAATCTTTATGCAGAGAAGACATTTTTATAGATCATGCTCACTGCCTATTTTGTTTATCTTTGTTTTGCCCAGTTTTCACTGTATTATAGGGAAATGAATAGATACTTATGAATATATTGTTTTTTAAGCACTTTTTAAGGTTTGTAGTTGAATGTTGAGAACTGTATTTTTATTATCATTATTTTTATAAAGCTCTATAGGAAAAGCTCTAGAAACCTTAGATAGGGAAGGGGGGTTAGCAGTCATTTTGGCTTCTGCAAAAATAGGTCCTGCCGGACAACCTTTGTGGAGTTCTATGACAAAGATGCAAGGTGGCTAGAAGGAGTGGATGTGGTTTACCTGGATTTCGGCAAGGCCTTTGACAAGGTCCTGCATGATATCCTGGTTGAGAAATTGATATGCTTCTGGATAGACTGATGCTCATTGATGAGCTTCTGGATAGACTGATGGATTAGGGCATGGTTGACTGACTGCAAGCAGAGAGTGACATTCAGAGGGGAGTCATCAGGATGGCAACCAGTGATGAGCAGAGTCCCCCAGGGCTCAGTTCTGCGATCATTTCTGTGCAACCTTTTTATCAGTGATCTGGAGAAGTGGGTAACCAGTCTGCTGACCAGATTTGCAGATGATACGAAAGTGGGGGCGGTGGCCACAACTGAGGAGCAGGTAATCCAAATCCAAAAGGATCTGGACAGACTGGAAGTGGGTGGGGGTAGGGGCAACAGGATGGCATTCGATGCAGACAAGTGCAACATCTTGCACTTGAGAATCAGGAATAGGTGCCATAGGTACAGGATGGAGGACCCTAACATAAAACAGAAACAGAGTGAGTCAGAAGGGGCCTCCCGGGCCATCTAGTCTGACTCCTGGCTTCAGCCAGCTCCACTCATGGCATGCAGAACAGAGGAACTGCTTTTAACTTGGTTCTGCAAGCAGAAGGCCTATCAATGTCTTCTTTGAATTAATGTTGCTTGTCCCTTCCCCAGAGGTAATAGGGTGGCAACTATTTGGTTGATAAGCCATGAAACCATGAAGCCACATTCTTATGTGAGCTCTTAGGTCTTGTACTGTATAATGCAGAATTGACTGTACATTATTTTCAGAATAGTTAGAGTGTCCTCACTATCTTGTCTCATCCATATGAGACTGTGCAGAACTCTGTCCAGCCAGCATTACCTTCCTTCTAGAAGTCTATGTGAAGCCTGAGCTTTTGCTCAGGTAACCCCAATGTTCAAATGTCCAGTTTACATCTAATTTGGTAAATTTTAACAGACTGTAATGTAATCTGTAAAAGTGTAGACTGTAAAGTTTCAATAGAAAGAATTATTAAAAAACATCTTTTACAAAAAATAAAAAAAATCCTAACCAAAACCTTTTAACTTGCAAGTCAGCTCCCTGAAACCCTGATTCCTGATGTGTATGTTGAGAATATTAAGGGTCTACCTTGACAGGGTTGTTAGAAAACATGCTTAAGAAGCCCTGCCTGATCAGGTGAAAGGCTTTGCTAGCCCAGCTTCCTAGTTCTCTCACCTGCAGCTCTTCTGCTGCATGTGCCTTTCATGGCCAGACCTCCTATTCTCTGAGACTCTATGAATTGATGCCACTTCTTCTTAAAGCTGCCCAAGATGGTGATCGTTGTTCTGTGGCAGTGAATCCCACAGTTTCGAGCAGGGGTGGCCAGACTGAGGCACCTGTGGCTCTTTGAATTTGTTTTGTGGCTTCCAGAGGGCCAAGGGCTCCCCTGCCCCACAGTCCAGATCCCAGTGAAGGCACAGGCATGATGGCAGTGAGCTCTCTCGAAGCTGCCATCCTGTCCCACTCTCTTCAAAAGGCCTGAGTTGGGTTGGCAGCCTGGCCAGTTTGCCCCCTGCATGCCCCGCCTGCTCCTGCTGATGAGTGCAAGGGTGCTTTGCCTGTTCTGCTTCCGCTGCCGCTCCAGATGGCAAATCCAGGGGTGTTACAGGAGGCAGTGGCAATGTTTCAGAGGCGGCTGTGGCCCTGCCCTCACTGAATAAGCCAAGGATGGAGCAGATCCAGGCTGACCTCAAGCTCTGGGAAGGGAAGGGCCGAAAGTAACACCCTCCCAACTCCAACTACTCCATCTTTGGCTTCTTCGCTGGGGGTAGGGCTACAGCCATGGAAGCCACCACGGAGACCTCAAGAAAACACTGCCCCTGCCTCCTAAACCACCACTGGATTTGCCACCCAGAGCAGCAGCAGAGGTAGAACAGCCGAAGAGCCTTGGCGCTTGTCAGCAGGAGCAGGTGGGGCAGGCTGGGGCAGCTCTTGCGAGCCCACCAGCCTGACCCACTCTCTTCCTGAGCCTCAAGGAGAGAGTGGGTTGGGCCAGTGGCCTCTCCAGAGTTTGCCCCAGCATGCCCCACCTGCTCCTGCTGACTGTAAAAAGCCAAATTCAAAAGAGGTGTCTTGACCTCCCTTCTTGACCGTGGAGAGGGGGAACCAGTCACAGCTCCAAAGAGAATTTGTATTTATGTGACAGCCCCTGAAGATGGCTCTCCTATTGCTGCCTGACCCTTCTGCAGCTCCTTCAAAGGTCCCTGATAGAATTCTAACTTGAAAATCACATCCTAACAAAAAATTCTCAGCACTTCTCACTAAGGATTCTGTCTGTGACAACAGAAAAAAAAACCCCTCCTCTATTTTTGGTTAACATAACACTTGCTTTGAGTAGTTCTTGTTTCTAAAGGTGTGTTTCTTTGGAAGGCCATTGCACAGTTAGTATTACAGGTGTCTGTGTGTCTTACCATGTACATTAAAAAATACACTGATAAGTAAGAGCACACATTCATAAAGTCATAATAAGTGAATCATACATATTTCTTCATGTCTTGTGGCTCTCAAACATCTGACATTCACTGTATGTGGCTCTTCCACTGAGCAAGTCCAGCCTTCTTGGTATAGCATATGCACAGTGTGAAAATGTTCTTCCTTTATCTGTCCTGCATATCCCACCATTCAGGCAAAAGGGTTTTACCAACATGCTATGTGAGCAAAGCAAGCAAGCACAGGGCATGCAATTCTTTGCTCCTTTTATGTGTTGACTGTGCCTTTATCCCATTTAGTTTGCAGACCAAATGGAGAGTGTCTGTGCCAGAAGAGACTTCCTTGGGAACTTCTGCCGCTATCATCTCACCAGTTCCATCCAGATGGAGAAGGCCAGGTGCCATTTTCTGATCAAACAGAGGCTGCAGCAGATTCGGCAGCCAAGGATCAGCCTGAGATTTCTGGCAAGCTACAGGACTCTTCTTTCCTTGTTCATGTTGTATTTCATTGCTTCATGGTTTTGCATTGGTCCAGTGACTTGCACCTTCTTACTTCTCCTTGCATACCTTTTTTATGCAGTAGTCATGACTTTCTGGACTGAGAAGAGGAAACTGCACCAGCACTAATATTTGCATTTCATACCACTAAGCAGACCACCTCTGCCTGATAATCATGACTGGGGTTGTAGAAGTCTAATTCTGTGCTTGATGCCTATTTTGTGTTTGATATGTTTAAATATTTTTAACCAAGGGAAACTTGAATGGAAATCCCTTATAACTGTTGAAGTTATGTTAATCTGTTTTGATAAACAGACTTTTTAGAAGACCACAAGTTACAGTGAATGCTTTGGAAAGTGGTGCCCTGGTGGAATTGGTAGGGATAAAACAAACTGGCGGAAAACTCCTGGACAACTGGGAGCTTCTGAGCATAACCCCCAGGTAGACATGCTTTTGCTCAGGTCTCCCTCCCTTGTAATGGGACTTGTACATGACATATGCCGGAGGGATTGTGCCCTTTTGCTGCAAATGGCTGCCTGGGTATTGTGAGAACAATGTGTTCAAGCCTGGGTGTCAATTCATATGGATAGAGATGGTGTCTTGAAAGTGGATCTGTGCATATAGTGATAGGATAATAGGAATGCTTGTTGAACAACTCCCTCTGTGATTCATACACTGTCACCTCTGCTGAAAGCAGGTTGGAGGAAGAGAAAAACAAAGGCCTGAGAAACCAGCCATATCAAAGAAGGTGAAAGAGGACTAAAACTGAGTGCTATTATAGTAGCCAAATGAGAGGCAGATCTGAACATCTTTGATGTTTGTCTTTGGCACTCAGCAGCCTGTTTGATTAAGAAGAGGCAGGCAGGCAGGCAGAATGAGCTGGTGCCCACTCAGCTGGAGGGCCAACTGAGCCTGGGTGTCAATTCATATGGATAGAGATGGTGTCTTGAAAGTGGATCTGTGCATATAGTGATAGGATAATAGGAATGCTTGTTGAACAACTCCCTCTGTGATTCATACACTGTCACCTCTGCTGAAAGCAGGTTGGAGGAAGAGAAAAACAAAGGCCTGAGAAACCAGCCATATCAAAGAAGGTGAAAGAGGACTAAAACTGAGTGCTATTATAGTAGCCAAATGAGAGGCAGATCTGAACATCTTTGACGTTTGTCTTTGGCACTCAGCAGCCTGTTTGATTAAGAAGAGGCAGGCAGGCAGGCAGAATGAGCTGGTGCCCACTCAGCTGGAGGGCCAACTGAGAAAGCGTGGGTTACACTGCAGGGTTCTGTACCGTTACTGCCCTGAGGCCTACGAAGTGCAGGGAGTTACCTGCTTCTCTGAAATACCCTTCCAGTTGATTTGCGTCCCATCAGGCAGGCACTTCAGCCACTTCATCAGCTCTTCGTTTCCTCAATAAGCTCCCTGGCCAGAATTCGTGTTGTGGCTGCCTTTCTGAAGCAGAGCGAGGCGCCTGTAAACTGGCCGCGGGGGCAGGCGCGAGCGCGGACCGCCACAGGCCCGCCTGCCTTGGCCCTTCCGCGGCGGAGCAGCCGCCCCGCGGCGCTTCCCCTGCGGCTCGCGGCGGGCGGGGCTGCGCAGGGGTGCCCCGCGCAGGCCGCCCTGGCCTGCGGCGCTACGGCGGGACTTGAGGGGCGCCCAGCGACTCCGCGGCAGGGCGCCGGCCCGCGGCCGAGAGCGCGCCCGTTCCCATGGCGACGAG